GAAACCCAAGGAGGGGTCGCTATGAGTCGGGTCCGACTCGATGGCACATAACAACAACAGCATGTATCTGTCATTAAACCAATACCAGGCAGTTTTGACTATTGTGGCTGTATAGTAGGTTTTGAGACCCGGCAGTGTGAGACTTCCTACTTTGTTCTTCTTCTTCAATAGGGCTTTGCTTATCCGAGGGAGGTCTCCGAAGCTAAGTGTTTTTATATGTATCATCTGATTTAATCCTTCTGCGACCCTAGGAGATAGGTCTTGCTATCCATACCCTTTTACTGATAAAGAAACTGAGGTCTATTTACTTACGTATAGTAGTAGTAATGCAGGATTTGGACTCATGTCAGTCTGAGTTCAGCACCTTACATTGTTGCTATCTAAACAATAACAACAACAAAATCTAGTTGGAAAGGCGTTCTGGTGGCGTAATGCCTGAGACATTTGACTGTTAACCAGAAGGTTAGCAGTTTAAAACCACCAGCCACTCCACGGAAGGAAGAGGGCAATCTACTTCTGTGAAGATTTACCACCTTGAAAACCCAAGGGGTCATTATGAGTTGGAATTGACTCGATGGCAGTGGTTTTTTTTGTCTTTTTCATTTTCTTTTGGTTATGTGGCATATATGGTTAGGTGCTTGGCTCCTAACCAAAATGTTGGCCGTTTAGATCCACTCATAGATGCCACAGAAGAAAGGCCTGGTGACCAACTTCTAGAAAATCAGCGATTGAAAACTTGATGGCCCACAGTTCTACTCTGATGCACATGGGGGCACCATGAATCAGAGTCAACTCTACAGCAACTGGTAGAACAAGAGCTGTAATTTGTTGAGTATCTCCCATTCATCCTCCTACCCATCCTGTGAGGGTCGTGATAATACCTCCTGATTATAGATGAGAAAACACTTGCAAAGAGTCACTGGGTTAAGGTTATATGGTAAATTAAGAGGCAGAGCTGAAATTAGAATACAAGTTCTTGTGATTTTTTTTTTTCTTTTTTAACTTTTTAATTGAAGTATAAGATAATAGAAAGGTACAAATACCGTAAGTCAGCCACTTGACAAATTTTCACAATGTAGAACATACTTGTATAGCTTATACCCATATCAAGAAATAGCATTACCAGCACTGTGAAGGCTTCCTTGTGCTCCCTTCCAGTCACTGGGGAGATGTTGTAGGCTTCTGAATGTGAGTGATAACCAGGAGCTGGGGGTGGGATGGGGCTGGGAGGGATGTCCAAAAGTATTTTAAATTATTTCAGCTGCATGTGCAGAAGCATTGGAGATAGGAGTGGGAATGACTAGAAACGGAAAGATAATGGCAAGATAAGAAAGCAGGTGTACACAAAAAAAACGCATCCATTGCTGTGGAGTCAGATCCGACTCATAGCAACCCCTCCTTGAGTTTCCAAGGCAGTATCACTATGGAAGTAGTTTGCCCAACATTCCTTCTGGGGCAGCAGGTATGTTTGGGATTAATTCATATCTCAGTGACAGATTTAAAAAAAAAAAAATGCACTGCCATTGAGTCAATTCTAATTCATAGTGACTACTATTGGGTTTCCAAGGCTATAAATCTTTACAGAAGTAGATTGCCTCATCTTCTTCCCATGGAGCAGCTGGTGGGTTTGAACTGCTGACCTGGTTAGCAGCCAAATGCAAATGCCTTACCCACTGCACCACCACTGACTCACTCACTCACTGCTGTTGAGTCGGATCTGACTCATAGCGACTCCTCCTTGTGTTTCTGAGGCGGTATCACTATGGAAGTAGACTGTCCAGTCTTCCTTCTGGGAGTGGCTGGTGGATTTGAACTGCGAGCCCTCTGGTTAGCAGTCAAATGCCTTAGGCACTGCGCCACCAGAGCTCCCATTATACCGTCAGAACTCCTTAAATGACTGATAGTTTCCCTTTATTTCCTAAATGCTGAATGTTTTTGCATGTGTAGTGTTGTTTAATTCCCATAATAGCTCTGAAAGTAGACACTGTTATCCACACTGTATGGGTGAGGAAACTGAAACCTTGGGAAGGCTAACTTTTTCAGACTGACAGAGTGAGTAAACAGTAGGGCCCTGGTTCCAACCTGGGTCCATACCACTACAGCAATCAATTTTGTGCCATTACCGAGGGCTTCTGAAATGGTGTGCATCAGAATTTCAGGGCATTCTGAAAAACACTTGGTCATAAACTAGGGTAGACCTGGCATTTGTATTTTTATCAAGTGGCTTAGATGATTGTGATAATATACTTGACATTTGAGAACCACTAAACCCACCATGTTGTTCCTTTAGTGGTTTTGTCATTTCCACTCCCTTCCCCAAAATCCACTGCCCATGGGCTCTCACAGTGGTGCTGAGGCTGATTCCTGGGCTCAGCAACAGCCCACGGTTTGTGAACAAGTGACATGGCCTCAGCAGCAACTGAGTGATTACCTGGACTGACCCTGTCTCAAAGGGTGGTTCATCCAGGCATCCCCCAAGGTTGTTAGATATGCAAATGCTCAGGCCCCACCCCAGACCTATAGAACCAGCATCTGCATTTTAGCCGCGTCCCCAGATGATTTGCATATACTTCAGAGTTGGAGAAATGCTGCTCTAAAGCTTAAGTTTGAAGTGTGATGAGATTATAATAAAGTTATTTCATCAGACTTTTGCAGTTTGCAAATAAAAAGTAATGCTACGAAGAAAGACCATGGAAGAAAGTCTTTTATTTATTGAATGCCTACTGTGTGCCTGATGTGTTTGGTACTTTATTTTATTTAATCCCCACAACAACCCAAAGAAGTGAACATTATTCCACTTGACTGATGAAGAAATTGAGACTCTGGAAAGTTAAGTAACTAGCTAGTTAAGTAACTAACTAGCCCAACGTCACACAGCCAATGAGTGCTTTAGCCAGCATTCAAGTACAAATCTCTCTGACTCCAAAGTTTGTGCTTTTGGCAGCCTGTGACATTGACCTCCAGGCAGCCAGCAAGGGATGGAAGAATTAATCTTTTATCTTGCCCTGTCTTTTTTATTAGTGGGTGTTCTTCCATATAACTGTAGACTTCAGTCACCTGGAACATGGCATAAGAGGCCTGCAGTTTGGGAGTGATAAAAATAGAACAAGTAGGATCTGTGCTAACAGCTCTTCACTGAAGTGTTTTTGGTCAGAGTTTCTCCTTAACCAAGCCTGACCTCCAAATTGTTCACCTGAGCTGATTTTTAACAGCCATGGAGAAAGATTGGCAGAAGGTACTGTGTGGTTGCAGTGCTAGCCTAAAGACCAGGAGTCCTGACCTTCACTGGTTTTCCAAAGTGCAGAGTTTTAACCTCTTCTCATCTGGGTTTCATTTTGCTGTGAAGTCATTTCTTTCTTTGAACGGAATCACTCTGTGAATCACAAACCAGAATTTGCTGCATTGAGAGTCCTGCCTACTTAACCTTTATTTATTTATTTTTAATGTGCCTGATGGCTCATTGATTAAGCGCTCAGCAGGCTGGTAACTGAGAAGTCAATAGTTCAGACCCACCAGCTGTTCCACCAGAGAAAAGACCTGGCAATCTGCTGTGACCATTATAGCTTAGGAAACCCTATAGGGTAGTTCTCTGTTGTGTTAGGTCACTGTGAGTCATAATCAACTCAACAGCACAAAAGAACAAAAACTTAATGATTTGGTTTGAGCAGGAATCCAAACCTACTTGTTGTTTTATAAAGCAGTTTGAATCAGAAAGGTTAAGTATTTTCCTTTGAACTGGTTCTGTTCCCCATAAATTCTGCATTCCTTTTTGCCACTACAAAACCAATGTTGAGCTGTCAAGTCTCCTCCTGTTCTAATTCTGCATTCTCATGCATGGTCCAACAAACTATGAGCTCTTTGAGGACAGGGTGTGTGTCTCCTATTCATCTCTGTTTCACTGCTTCCAGCAGGGTTCTTGGAATAGGCATTCAGTAAGTGTTTTCTTTCTGTATGAATGAATATGGAATTAGGGCAAAGTTTATAGTAACAGCTAACATTCACTGAGAATTTACTTTGTGCCAAGGCCTGGGTGCCAAATTCTGTCTAATCTTCTCATCAACCCAGTGACATAGGTCCTATTACCATCTCATTTGTTACCATCTCCATTTTACTCAGAGGAAATTTGAAACTTAGAAAGGTGAAGTAATTTTTCTCACATATCTAGTGATTGGTGGCCTAGAATCTAAAACCTAGGCAGTTTCATCTCTTAACCAAAAGGCTATATCCTATTTCCTAAAATAAGTACTTAAGTTCTTAGTATTTGCCAAGTACTTTTCATATGGAACCTTTTTTGCCTTCATTTTAAACAGAAGAAGAAACTCAGCCTCAGAGAGGTTAAGTGATTTGGCTAAGATAATGCATCTTTCTAGTGACAGGGAAAGAAAAGAACCAGGTCTTCCTGCAGTCGAACCCCTGTTCCTCAACCTACCCCCAGCTGTGTCCCAAGCCCGGTGGCTACAGTATATGGTAATTGCACATCCATCCCTTCAGCAAATATCTATTCAGCACATGTCATGGGCCAGACATTGTGCCAACTACTTTATATACATTGTCTCATTTAAACTTCACAGCATCCATGTACAGTGTTGGTGCTCTTGTTTTTATTCTTCCCATTTATAATGGGAAACGAGGACTTATATGTCATTAGTATATCTAATGGAAGTAGTGATAATAGCTAATATTTATAATGGTTTCCTGTGTGTTAGGTGCACTACTTTAAGTGTACATGTATTATCTCATGTAACTATTAGTACAACCCTATAATTGATATGTGTTAAAACATAATGTCAGGTACTTTTATCCCTGTATTACGGGTAAGGAAATAGGCATTTGCCTGAGTTCATACAACTGGTAAGTGGTGGGCCAGATTCATACTTAGGCAATCTGATTTCAAGACGTTTATATTGGTTTCTGTTTTTCTCCCCACAGGCACCCAGATTGGCTGAAAACTTCTGTGTCTGCCATTTGGCTACTGGGGACATGTTGAGGGCCATGGTGGCTTCTGGCTCAGAGCTGGGAAAAAAGCTGAAGGCAACAATGGATGCTGGGAAGCTGGTAGGTTTGGTGGTCCCAGAGAGTGTAGATAATCCTCAGAGTCTAGATCTGCACTGTGTCCCATGTGGTAGTCACCAGCCATATATTGTAACTAGTTATATATATGTATATAATTAGTTACATATATGTATATAACTAGTTATATACATTTAAGTTAAAATTCAGTTTCTGATTTGCATTAGCTATATTTCAACTGTTCACTCGCCAGAAAGTTCTTTTGGACAGCACTGAGGTATATTAACAAACTGGCAGATTATATGGACTTTTAGAGTAGCAGGTTGTTTGATTTGTTCTGAATTTATGACACTTATTTTTATTTTATTCACTATTCTCAAGGTTCCTTTGTGCTGATGTATTTCCTACTCATTTTTAGGGCCAAAAAGGAAACTGCCATCCCAGAAGTGTTTTTAACTTACTTTTGTGGCTCTCTGTCCTGTGTCTCTTTACTGGGGAGTCACTGGGCAGTTGTGATAAATGTAATCCTTCCTGTTTGGGAGATATGATTACATTTTTCTCTTAGTTTTAGGACAGTTGGTTTAATTGAGAAAGTGTAATCTATTACCCAGTAAATCTTCTTGATTACCATATTTTCACACAAATAATGTGCATTTTTGTTTGTTTGTTTAGGTTTGTTTTGTTTTGTTTCGAACTGCACAACCCCCCAGTGTGTGAGCTTCCTATGTGCACTGTACCCTTTATATGTGTGTCTGCATTATTTAGGTGGATGTGTTAAATAGCAAAAAAAAAAAGTATATCCGTGCTAGAGCTTAGTTGTAACTGAGTTATCCTGGGACTCGCGTTGGAAATTGCCTTCCGAAGTCATTTTGTACTTAGTCCTCTGGTCTTTGCATATCTTAGAATGTTGATTGGGGAAAGTGCTGGACTTTGCTTTCATCTCCAGGTTAACTTCCTGTTAGATTCTGAGATTCTATAGATATTCTGTAGATACGTTGAATGGTACCCCTGCCTATCTGGCTATCCCCTTCTTTCTTGTTTTCCCATGGTGTTGGTGAGGCCTTGAGTGAAGCCAGAAAGCCAGGTGTTTTGGACTTTAGGTCTTGGCAGAAGATTCTGTACTGAGAAGAAACTGGAATGTGGCAATGAGATTGGTTATCTCCAGCCTTCACTATACTTTGTCCCCAAGTTCACAGCTGGTGCTGGGAGATAAGAAAATTAGCTGCCAAGTTGGGCAGCCTTCACTGTAATGCTGGCAGGGAGCTTTTCTTTCTATGAAGGCCTAGGAGAATAACCAGTTTTTGAAAGCTGGAAAGGGTCCTCATTGAGATTTTTATAGAAGTTCAGAGGTGTGTTTGTCTGGCTCCTTGATTCCTTGGTTCTAACTCAGTCTTGCGAATTCAATGAAATTCTCTCTTGCCCATGTCCAAGATAGTCCAGGTATATGATCAAGCACATACTGCAGTTGTGTTACTGTTAGCTTAATCAAAATTGTGAAACAGGAGAAGTTGGTGCCTTTCTGTATCTTTTCCAACCCCCATTCTCTGCTGGAGCCCTCCTCAGGTGACTTGTCAGCCACATACCCTACCTTTCTTGTGCCTTGAGGACAGCTGTTGCTGATAAGCTGTTATCTGATGGTTAGCACATTGACTCTAGTGGCAGGAGAGACCTTCCAGATGTAGGACATGGATGGAACTGTCCTCATGGGGTGACAGGCAGTGGTGTCTTCTCTCACCCAGATTATTGAGACACAGGAGAATTTCAAGGGAAGAGAATATGACTATAGGCAGCCACAGAAATAATCGTGAATCTGGATCTTCCAAACACATTTGCTCTGGTGTTTGCTTCTTTAAAGCCAAGAAGACATGCTGTTTAGTAATCAGGTTATGCAGATGCAAGCTTTTGACTCTGGAGTTGGTCTTATGTCATCTGGTTATTGGATTTGAACCCAAGGCTGTTTCATTCTTGACTTCTAGGTGAGTGATGAAATGGTGGTGGAGCTCATTGAGAAGAATTTGGAGACCCCTTCATGCAAGAATGGTTTTCTTTTAGATGGCTTCCCTCGGACTGTGAGGCAAGCAGAAATGGTGGGTAGCTTAGCTTATGTCTCACCATTGAGTGAAAATAAACTCTGGCCCTTTATCTTTTAATTTCTTTGAGGGAGATGGGTTTGATTCAGTTCTGGTAGCTTAGGTGAGCCATATACTCTTTTACAGCTTGATGACCTCATGGAGAAGAGGAAAGAGAAGCTTGATTCTGTGATTGAATTCAGTATCCCAGACTCTCTGCTCATCCGGAGAATCACAGGAAGGTATTTATCACCTAAACTCTCAACAGGACGATTCCTTCTTCTGCTTCCTTTGACTTTGTTAAATCATGGGAATTTCTGTTGCCTAATCCCAGCCCTAAAGTTTAGTATCATTTCAACGTGGGTTGATTTTATTTGGTGATATCCACTGAAGTGGTGGCAAAGGATGGGAATCTGGGAAGAAGAGTAAAAGAGTTGAAGTTAGCATCTCAGTCCTATCATCCATGTAACTCTGACCCTTGGCAAGTTTCTTTACCTCTCTATGGCTGTTTGCTCCTCTGTAAAGTGAGGTTAATAGTACTGGCTTTAAGGAACTATTATGTATGTCAGATAACATAAAATGCATAGTTCAGAGCCTTGCTTATAATAAGCAAAAAAAACCCAAATTCACTGTCATTGAGTCAGTTCTAACTCATAGCAACCCCTCTTTGGATTTCTGAGATGGTATCTCTACAGAGTAGATTGACCAGTCTTCCTTCCAAGGAGTGGCTGGTGAGTTTGAACCGCCATCCTTCTGGATAACAGTCAGATGCTTTAGGCACTACACCGCCAGAGTGCCTTGCTTATAATAGGAGCTCAAAAAATGTTAATTACCTTATATGTATATTGCTATTTTAGTCTTTTTTATCCAATTTCAGTTGGAGTTACCATATCTTGCTGTAGCCATTTTAATAATTATAAAATATTATAACCATCTATACAAAGTTTAGAAAATGGAGGAAAAATTGCTCATAGTCTAGCCACCTTAGCCAAGACTGCTGTTATTGTCTTGTATGTTTTGCTTTAAAATGTCTGTTTCTCTTTAGTAATCAACATTGAACACAGAAATGGTTCTGCATCAGCTTTTGAACATATTTGGAAAAGACCATTATTGCAGTTTCCTCTATCCTATTTTGCTAATCATTTTCCCATCTGCTTTGTGCCTTCCAGAAATGCGTTGGGAACTGTCAGCTCCTAATGGGCCCCCCCATTCTTTATTGTGAGCTATAGCTTTTTATTTCTTTGTCATTTTAAGAGTCTCAGGAAGATAGTCATCCCACACTGTTGAACCAAATGTCCATGACAATTATTTTTAATTACTGTATGATAGTTCACAGTAGATGAGCCATCATTTATTTAATTATTCCCCTATTGTTGTACATTTTTGTTTTAGTAGTTCACTGTGAAATTGATCATCATAGTGCATGTAAGTTATTGGATTTAATTAGAGGGGAAATGTTTCTTGTTCTAAATTTTATTATTTTGATTTCCTAATGAGGTTCAACATTTGTCCATGTGTCTGTAGTTACACTTTCAAGGAGAGAGACAGACATGTAAGCAGACAGCAGAGCAAGTGCTAGAGGTTTTACTTGGAAGGCTATACAAGATACAGGGGGATCCACCTTATATTAATTTGTTTTCAAATGTCTAGGTTTCATGTTTCCAGTTATTCTGTAGACTCCTTCAATGCAGGGACCTTGTCTTTTTTTCTTGGCATCCCCATTGGGCATGGAATAAACAGAGTTGACTAGGCCAAGAAGAGATAGGGTTGATGGTAAGGTACATTGCCAGGGCTAGGGTCTCTGAGGTGCAAGGCCTAGGGAAGAGAAGATGTTGGCAGAACCAGGTGATACTAGTGTCCTTTGACTGGCCCAGACTGAGTCCCTGGTTTGTGCCCAGCACATTGCTAGGCACTGGGAATAGGGGGCTGGAAGGTGATACAGAAGAATGATGTGATGAGGCCCATCTCTGACCTCTTGAGAATCTACAAACCTGAGTTCTTCTGAGCTGTTTGGTGCAGTAGGAAGTCCAAGAAGGAAAGCTGGAAGCAGGAAGGAAGGCTGACTAGGAAAGGTGGAATGTCAAGATGTAATGTCCTGGATGGGAAGAGGATTTTAGTGAGGCTTTCCCAGAAGGGAATAAAGGCGGGAATGAATGAGGGTGGTACAGTTCTATCGGAGGCTGGGGGCTGGTAGTAATGAGTGCTGTTGGGAAAAATATGATGGCATCTTGAGTGGAGGAGGTCTGCCAAAATGAAGAGGTAGATTTGACAGTCAGGAGGCATAGTTGGTTCTTGAGCCATTGCGTGTATTGTGGGGTGGAGGGACAGCAGTCTGATAATACTAGCTTGGTCCTAGCATGCAGATTAAAGTAGGGGAGGGGAGAAGCAGACAAGGACACCATCTAGGAGTCTGATCATGACCCACATATGAAGTGATAGAGGCTTTGAACTGAGGTTGAATGGTAGGGAACAGAGCAATTCTAAAGAACAAAACTGCTGGATTGCTATAGAGGATCAAAGAGAAAAGACTTGGGACCCTCAGTTTGGAAGTGAGTGGTTTAGTCTGAACCCCTCCCTCACAAAAGAAGAAACTAGGCAGGCCAGACTGGTGAAGGGGTTTTTCCAATTCAGTAGGTCAGTGGCAGAGCTAGCACCAGAAGTCTGCATTCTAACCTTACTCCAGTATATTGATTATTGGAAGAAAAAAGAGACAGGAGCTTGTCTGTTTAATATGGATCTTGTTTAAGCCAGGTGATAAAGACCCCACTGTAACAATCTTATGAATTAGCTTGGGCTTTATTTCTGGTAATTTTATGAGGTATTATTTTATTTCTTGAATATGTATGGCTGATGGATTATGTTTTTTTAATCTATTTGGTATTGTCTCTGGTAACTGTATGTTAGCAGTGGAAGTAGCATCCCAGACCTAATCCCATCATGCCATCACCTACCTGCTCCAGGCCAGGCTCAGTGGCTTATGGCACTGTTTTGGTTGGTACTAGAGACTAGTCCCAATAGAATATTTGGAACTTGAGCTTTCTTTCTTTCATTTCCCATCTAGGAAACGAGCCTTGCATTCCTCTTAAAATGATGTTTATGAGTGGAAAGAGCAGTGTCTTTTGTATAACTAGAGAGTTGAGAAGATCTGGGAATGAGTGGGAGGTACAGAGATGCAGGATGTAGAAAGAGAAAAAGTGTCATATTTATTGCAGTCTAGTCACTCCTCAGAAGGAAGGTTGGGCAATCTGCTTCTGTAGTGCTACCGCCTCGGCAGCCCAAGGAGGGGTTGCTATGAGTCGGGTCCGACTCAATGGCACCTAACAACAACAGCAACAAGGTGTCATGTGCCCTGTGCTGTGCAGAAGAACAGATACCATGTTCCAAGTCTCATGCTACAACCCTTCCCAAAGTAAAAGCTGCAGCTGAGCTCAGCAACCTATATTCTTCCTTTCCTTGGGTCTCCCAACATATGCCAACAGCTCTGCACGAGAGAAACCCCTCTGAGGACTCGAGTGAAAGAGGCCCCAACCTCACGGTACATGATTACGGTCACAGACCCACTCGCTCCTCAGTACAACTTGTTTTCTCTGCAGTTACCTTTCTTCCCAGCATCCCACTCACAGCTTATGCCATAAATTGACCACTTAGTCCCCTAAAAATTAGCTGCAGTTAAAACACAGTGTCAGTTTTTATAGATGTCTGGCTTCAATAGTCTAACACAGTATTTCCCAACTGATGTACCAAGACATTGATCCCCTTAGCTATCAGAGCAGCAGGGCAGAGCCTGGGATGGTGTAGCTCTTCTGTTCACCTGAGTGCTATACAAACATTATTTTTGTGGGTGCCCCGATGTGGAAAATGTTGGGAAGCTCTGGTCTAACAGACTTTCGTGAAGAGAACAGCCATCATTTAAATAAGCAAACACTTGGTTGGCTCAGAATTGAGATACTTCATGAACTCAAGTGAGCCCTGGATGCTTGGCCTGCCTCCTTCTCTTCTTAGGTTTCTGGGCCACTGTGATGTGGCTAAGGAGCTCTGGTGGTGTAGTACTTAAGGCATTTGGCTGCTAATCAAAAGGTCAGTGGTTTGAACCCACCAGCCTTCACAGAAGAAAGATGGGGCAGTCTGCTTCTGTCAAGACTAACAGCCTTGGAAACCCAAGGTAGGGGGAGTCTGTGAGTTGGAATTGACTCAGTGGCAGTGAGTGAGTGGTGTGGCCCCTCCCGGTCAGGAACATGAGCATGTTGCCAAAGGGGGCTTAACAGACATTTGGTGCCATATAAATTCTTGTTCTTAGGCTCTTTCTTCCGTGACTTGTTTAATATTGCCCTGTAATGTTTAGTCTGTCCTTTAACTGTGTGACCTCAAAGGTGTGCTGCATTGGCTAGTGGTGTTTGTATCTATGGGATGTATTTTTCCCATGGCACCTTTCTGCTCTTATAACTAAACTAGGTTGGAAGATAGGGTTAATTTCTCTGTCCTCTGTCACCCGTAGTGTTTTGTACAAATCTATAGTAGAAAATTATCACATTTATGAGATTTATTCCCATATTTTTCTCTCCCGTTAAATTAAGTGCTGCTTGTGAGCAAGGATTGTGACTTGTTTCTTTGTAGCCCTTGGATTCAGTTTAAGGCCTGAGTCAGTCTAGGCACTTAATGTTCGCTGAGTGAATAGATGAGTAGGATGGCTAACTCTGTGAGACCAGAACCAGAGTTGGTTCTCTCAAGTCCTGAATTAGGTAGTTAGGCCAACAGTTGGCCTCTTGAGCCAAATACTCATTACAATGTTTGGTCAAATTAGAAAACATTCATTCTGGCATAAGCTCTCCTACACGGCCAGTTATTTTCCTAAGCAAGAGATACCTTTAGCTGGCTTCTCTGCTGGGTGAAAGTTCTTAGGTCCAGTTTCTCTGCTTGTCCCTGGCGCCCCTGAGCCTGTGCTTTCAGGAACTCTGGCTCATGTTCATTTGTTGTCTTTCAGGCTGATTCACCCCATGAGTGGCCGTTCCTACCATGAGGAGTTCAACCCCCCAAAGGAGCCCATGAAGGATGATGTACGTGAACTCGGGACAGGAAATTTTCTTTTCTTTCCTCCCCCACTTCTTCCTTTGGTATTTCTTTTTCTTTCTTTCTTCTTTCCATCTTCCCTTTATTTCCACCAATAATGTTAACAATGAGAAATATCACTACGAAGTAAGTGAGATAAGTTTTGGCTGATCTATACAGTGTCTTCTCAGATGGTTTATAGCTTAACTCTGAGGTAACTACCTTCCCAGGGCCCAGATTGTATCTCTTATATCCCCTGTTTGTCCAGAGCAACCCCTTTTTGGCATCTTGGTGACCCTAAGTGGTCAGCTAATTAGGAGAAGGCTGGAAGCCTAGAATTAGAACTTAGAGATAAGAAGTGGGAGGAATAGTGCTGAAGAAAAGTTTGCTGACAACTCCCAGAAGAATGTCCTCTCTCTAGTGACTACTCCTACTATGCTGTACAGATTGGGAATCTCTCCTAAATCTCATGGCTAGGTAAATAGTGCCAGATACTTATGACAGTCTTCAGCTGTGGATGTACAGATTTATACAAATTTTACATGTGCACTGTTAAAGCTGGACCATGAATAAGGAAAATGAATAAGAATTGATGCCTTTGAATTATGGTGTTGGCAAAAGAATATTGAATATACCATGGACTGCCAGAAGAACAAACAAATGTGTCTTGGAAGAAGTACAACCAGAATGCTTCTTGCAAGCTAGGGTGGCAAGGCTTCATCTCGTGTACTTTGGTCATGTTATTAGGAGGGACCAGTCACTGGAGAAGGATATCATTCTTGGTAAAATAGAGGGTCAGCAAAAAAAGAGGAAGATCCTCGACAAGATGGTTTGACGCAGTGGCTACAACAATGGGCTCAAACATGACAGCGGTTGCGAGGATGGCGCAGGACCGGGCAGTGTTTTGTTCTGTTGTATGTAGGGTCACTGTGAGTCTGAACTGACTTGATAGCACTTAACAAAAACAACTATAACATTTGCTATAAATAGCCAATTTGATCTGTTTAAGATCTTTTAGACAACAGTAAAAATTTCTTGGATTTATCTTTGTTGTGAGATAAATTCATCAGATCATCTTGGTTCTATTAAAAAAAGATCCAAAGCTATTGTCTCGATTTATTCACATTTCACAGAGTTGGCAATTCCACCATTTACAGAGTTCTTTCTCACTGCCCTTGCCACTTTTAGAATCTTGATGAGATAACACTCTAGTAAATACACTAAATACTTAGGTAGATTGTAGTTGTAAGTATATTTCTGATTTCAGCATGTTCTCCTGATCTCAGAGGCCTCTGTGTTCCTTGCTTCTGACCCTATACATGTTCATTGTGGAAACTAAACTGCCTGAGTGTGAAGCTGTGAGAAAGAATCATACCCATCGTTCTCTCAAGAGCCTCGTTCCTCATAGCTGCTATTTCTGGCAGATTGACTTCTCTGGACCATCTGATCCACTTCTGAGAGTGGCAAAGTTCCATGTTGGAGAAAGTCTTATCCAAAGTCCTCTGGTGGACTTTGGAATTAGATACATCCTGGCCCAAATGGTCTCTTAAATTTTTGCCTTTTATTCCCTCTTCCTCTTCTCAGATCACCGGGGAACCTTTGGTCCGCCGATCAGATGATAATGAGAAGGCCTTGAAAATCCGCCTGGAGGCCTACCATACTCAGACCACACCACTGGTGGACTACTACCAGAAACAGGGTATCCACTGTGCCATCGATGCTTCCCAGACCCCTGATGTCGTGTTTGCAAGCATCCTAGCAGCCTTCTCCAAAGCAACATGTAAAGACTTGGTTATGTTTATCTAATGTTGAGTCCAAAAAGGAATTTCTTTCTGTTTCCTATCTGTGTTGAGGAGGGGTGGGAATGATAGAACAGACAGAGGCAAGTTTACTCAGGCCAGCAAGAATATCATTTGATGTATTAATTAAAGAAGCACTTACTTGATGTCTTTGGTGTGTGTGCAACTCTCATCTCATCTGTGTGTGTATGTGTGCGTGGATCAGTATAAGTACGTGTACACTCTCCTACTTTCTACATTACAGGCTGCGTTGCTTTACCAGCAGTTTAATTCTTGTGCCACACTCTTGGTTTTATTGTTTGATCAAAATAAACTAACCCAGGTCATCGAGTTGATTTGACTCATAGCGACCACTCCTTGGTTTTCTGAGGCAGTATCACTACAGAAGTACATTACCCATTCTTCCTTCTGAGGAGTGGCTGGTGGGTTTGAACCGCCAGCCTTCTGGTTAGCAGTCAAGTGCTTTAGCCACTATGCTACCAGAGCTCCTAGGTATCTACTAGGCATCCTCCCTAGGCATCCCAAATCTAAAACCTCATGGTATTTATTCCATCTCCAACAGCTGATAAGTCAGGCAGGGTCAGAGGTCCTGATGGCAGATAGCTGGCAAGGAATTCCACTTGTTTTCTAGCCCATAGTGAAAAGCCACTTTTTGAGTCAATATGTGGAAAGGGATTATTACTTTTTTTTTTTTTTTTACCATTCCATGGAAGAAAAAAAGCACTTAATCAAATCACAGATTCCAGTGAGAGGGTATTACCACAGAGAGAGCCAGGCCAAGTTGGAATATTTTTGTGATCTGTGTCATGGTGCTCTACAGGAGGGATCATTTGAGACTAGTGTTTGAAAGTGGAATTGTTGCCAAAGAATTAAGCCAGGTGGAATTCACATTGTCATCTGAACATCCAGGCTGAGCATCTGAGAACAGCCAAATCCACTTTCTTAAAGAGACCAGGGTAGGTTGGTTGGTTGGTTTTAATTTTTCAGTTTGCCTCTGTTTCCAAATGGGAACAAAGCAGTGATTTGGAGGTAACTTATTCTTGGATTCATTTTGATCAGAATTTGTTCAGTCCTAGTCTCTCTGGGATATGAAATCCAAATCATTGTGTTCCTTTTAAACTCAGCCCCTTTCTGTTCTAGAACCAATGTTCACCTCTTACTTCATGATGGCAGTGACTATAGACACCCCCTGAAAAGATCTCACTGTGACAGTAATTGACTTTTATTCAAACCTCAGCTTCCCAACCATTCGTCAAACCTCAGCTTCCCAACCATTCAGTGTTTCCTGGCATCCATGCTGTGCCTTTTTGTCTGTGGCTTTGATTTGTGGCAGACATATGAGTTAATAAACTGCTGTAAGAAACCAAAAAAACAGCAGCCCTGGAAAAACCATTAGGAAATCAGTGGCAAGTCCAGTAAATAATGCTGCCTGCCTCACTGTAGTCTGCTGACTCGATGGAATGGACTCTAAAGTGCCCGGTCCCCCATCTGACCTGAGTTCTCCTTCTGTCAGTGGGGCTACCAGAGGGCTTACTCCTGTCCACGTGGAAGCTTGGCACTGGTACGTGGCCCCATTGCTTTCCTCTTTCGCTGGCCCAAGTGAGTGTCTGCTGGCTCTGCTCTGCCTTTTTTTTCTGGCTGTAAACTAACTCCGCCTATTCTTAAAGAAAATCTAGTCTGATTTTATGTATTTCTGGGAAGCACATGACTTCTCAGAATGGGCAGGGAAGAGAAGTGAAAGCAAAACTCAGCTGTGCCTGCAGAGAATTGGGGTCATTCTGTGGGTGAAGTGGCCTCATGAGTCTTGGAGTCGACTCCCCTTGACAGGGGACAGCTACAAGCACTGGGCCTTAAAGTTGAGTGTTTGCTAATTGTGCATGAGTCTTGCTCAAATATTTTTCATCTATCCACATGCATTCACATGTGTGTGCACACATGCATGTGTGTATGTTGGGCTGCCAGTGAAGACTAAAAGATCATGGGATGCATATTCCCTTCTCAGAGTGGTTAGGATTAGATTTTTGCTTTATTTAATTCCAGAGTCTTAGAAGCATGAGAGCTTTCACCTGGCAGAGAAATTGCCAGTGTTTAATGCATTTGGTTGCTGGGGCGTGCATGCCAGCCTTCTTTGAATTTATTTGGTTTTTAAAAACCCATTTTTTTTTCTCTTGTTTCCTCTCTATTTCAGCCTAGTAACAGAAGGCCAGGAGAGACTGCACCGTTGCTCATCACCCTGCGGCGTGATCCCTGCTCTTAGGTGCTGGGCAGAAGGGAGGGGTGGTCAGGGGCTCAAGAGTAGTATTTGGAAGAGCCGCAGTGTTGTTATAATGAGGTGGTGTCTTTTTCACATAGGTGAGAGTCTTTATAAGTAAGAGGAAAAAAAAAAAAAAAACTGTGATTGGAGGGTATGGGTAGAAATAGAGAGATACAGTATTACAATTTCTACAGAATCAGGTTTTTATTTACTAAGTACTGGTGACAGTATTTTTTAAAACCAGTGCCCTACAACTTCAGCTTTTATCTCAACCTCATGGGTTGCCAGCCCAAGAATGCAGGAAATTGAACTCTTATACTGTCTGTCCTATAGCTTGGAATAGTGAGACTTTGACCACTGAACCTGGTTCCCCACACCATGGGATCAAAAAATCATCTCTACATTTAAAGAGATACAGGGTATGTTCATGGGGATGGTGGCTCAGCAAATCTGGTTTACTGGTTTCATGGGGAGACGAGGGCACGCTGGTCTCACTCTTTCCCCTGACTTGCCACTGAGTTACCAGGCTGCCTGCTCTCATGGATCAGCTCTCAGCAGCCATCTGGCACATGCCATGATCCTGTGCACTTGCCGCCTTCCATCCATGGTGTGTGAAAGAACCCTTTTTAATAAATAAGCAAGTGTCTTAAGCAATACCATCCAAAGATTATTCTTTCCATCCTCAAATCCTGTGACTGGGATCAGTAGACAGCACTATGATATACTGTTGTCAATGAGGTGCCTTCCTTAAGTAACCACCAAATGCTGCCTTGTTTGGCCTCCAACTCAATAAAGTATGTTGAAACTTTGTATCCCCTGTTGTGGCCTTTTTTTTTTTTTTTTAGGGATCTGGGCTAGAAAAATGACATTGAATTCTGAACCTGGCTTGGAAACCCTTTCTTGTCTTACGGTTACTAAAAGCCTGGTGATAGAGACCCAAGTGTATGTTCCTAAGAGGAGCCTTTTCTGTCTTGACCTTCAGCTCATATGCAGACTTTCCTTGAGTCCATGGACAAGGCAGCTTGGTCTAGTGGAGAGAGAGTACTGTGATTGGAGTTCAGGGGACCTAGGATAAATCCCAGCCAGTCATTCACTCTGCTCTGTTTGCTTATCTGAGAAAGGCTGGTAATGCCATCTTCTCAGACTTGCTGGTATGAAATGACATTTATAAGCAGAAGCTTTTGCTTGGTGCCTGGCATATAACAGCCACTGGATAAGTGTTAGTTGGATCAGATACATGTAAAAATACCTGTTTCCTGTCAGGTTGGATTACTGTTGAACAGACAGTTGTCCGCAGCCTAGAAAGCCAATGCTTCTAATCCCTGAGCCAGATTTTTGGCTGCCTTTTCATGTCTGTTTAACACCCTTGGTTGCCTATTTGCCTGTCCTCACCCATTTCCTTCCTAGCAAAAGTGAGCTTGAATCATTTGTCCAAACTGAAGTGCTTACCATTTTTGGAAGGGATGCCTCTGCCAGTGTGGTTTCTGAGAAATGTCTGTTATTCCTGAAACCAGATGGAGCTGAACTTGAAGTGCCACCATTGTTCTTCAGGCATCTTGTTAGTGAGAAAGGAAGAGCCATCACTGGCATATTAGATCTTGCTCCCTGAGCCAGCTCCTCCCTCTCTGTTTCACCATGTCCCCACCTCTGCAGAGTCATTTTCAAGTGTCAGCATGACTTATTTTCTCTGATCCTTTTGTTCCCTGAGCTATTTAAATGCCACATGAATGTTTTGTTTCCTTTGGCCATCATGTAACCCATTGAAGGAGGCCACATGGTGTAGGTGAGAAAAACTGAAAGACAAGGAGAGCTGTCATTTATTTACTTCTTTGAGCCTTGGTTTTTTCACCTGCAAATTGTGAGTTGCTGCTGTTCCTGGAGGACAAATCGTTCCAGGTGCTATGCTAAGGCCTCACACCCGTGACCTTATTCATATGGCTGGAACTGGTTTACGAGTGAGGAAATGAAGACTCGAGAAATGAAGTAAAATTCCTGAGGTCACACAAAAGAGGCAGAGTTGGTACTCAAACTTAGTTTCTGACAGTCTGTTCTCTTGTCCCTGTTGCTGAAGTGATTTAGTGACTTGGGCAGCTCTATAGGCAGGAAGGGCCCCTCCGAGTCAGAGCTCTCTGACTTGAAACCTCACGCTGCCAGAACTCAAGATGCTGAAGTCACTGCCGTTGAGGACCCAGCATCTGTGTCTCAAGATTTCTTGTGCACAGGGTTAAAGGCAAAGTAGAATGAAGAGCAGCCTTCATCCTTAGGAAGCCTAACAAGTGTCTCAGCTGAATGAGTCAGAAGGCAGATTTCCACAGCAGCTCTGCCATCGTGAGACCTCGGGCAAGTTCCTTCCCCTCATTAGTAGAATGGAGATGAGCCCTGCGCCTCAGGTATGCTGACAACACTGGTGATTCAAGGTATTCATGTGGGTCAGGGTTCCCTGGACACAGAGGATACTCAGTAAATGGTAATGGGATTCAGAAAAACTAGGCACTGGTGAAAGCTGTTGTCTGCCTGACTTTAAGACACCAGCCTGAGGATCCATAGAATCTGTACAACTCTGAAATTGTCTGTGGAATTCCATGTATTTGCATTTTCAATACTGATTTAACATGTATTGGGTGCTTACTGTGTCCTAGATTCTACATATATTGTCATTTATCCTCTTCAATACCCTTGTGGAGGAGGTAAGTACAATTATTATCTCCATGTTCTGTGTATGGATTTTGGGATTCATACATCTGGTAATGGCAGAACCAAGTCATGAACCGTCCATGGTCAGTGACTCCATAGCCCAGCTCTTACCACTGAGCTAATTGCTTTGACACTTTGCTTGGATCAGGGGAAAGATTTTCAAAGGCACTAGTGATACAGAAAAGGCAATGAAGGGAGAAG